CACAGCGGAATTTCCTCCAGGTCAGGTACTCGTAACGTGTCCGGTCGTGGCCTCTGGGCCTCGTACGGCGGACCTTTCGGAAACCCTTGGTTTATGACGCGGCAATTTACTATTGAGGCCGTTGAAGGACCTGCATTGTTGGATTTCTAGAAATTAAATAAACTAAAACGGTTTCCTCAAAAATAGCTTTTCAATCGCGCACGTTATAAACCGTGCTGGTCGTCTGCACGCCAAATGTTATTTCCCCGGGTATTGTAGCTGGTCGCTCCAGAATAAATTGGCACATACGTAGGAGAAGTAATCATACATTATTTGCAGTAAACAAAATAAATATTTATATAATCTATATGTATACATATTGGCAGCTATAGATTTATATATGATTGATCTCGTGATTTTTTTTTAGCTTGTTCTTTTATCTTCTGTAAACAAAGTATTTGGTGATTAGTTGCAATCTTCTCCCAACGGCTTGTTGACGTGGGAAAGGGTTTTATACAAAATTTACGTCGATTCATCTTGGTTAGATTAGTTTTATTATTGACTGTTACGTCAAGGACTGGTTACACTATTTTCTATAAATTGAGTTCGTTGGTCTCTTGGTGAGACTACTATTTGCTAAGGTCTCTTGTTGAGACTTCTATTTTGTAATGTGCCTTGTGGTCTTCTATTTTGAACTTCTATGTTGAACTATTGTGTTGAAACTGTTGCAAGCCTTCGTGGTCCGTCTCCACGAAGGCTGCGTTCCTCGCCGAATCACCCTGATTGGTGATTTCCAAAACGATTTTCCACCAATCAGTTTTTCTCCGATGCATTGATACCTCCTTCCCGTTACGCCCTAAACGCGCTATTTTAGGAAAGGGATGCACAACGACCGAAGAGGTGTTAGGCGACGGAATGTTTGGGAATCCTGTGGAGTCTCCACGAAGTCGAGAGTTTCTCGCGTTAAGTGGACCCAGCCACGAAATATCGAGGCCCACTTGTCCCTTGAACTCTTGGAGACTCCAGGATTTATGGCCTCTCGAGTCCTAGTGACCGAGTGTCGCACGCAACGCGAAAAGGGACACCTTTGTCCCAACTAAACTAAATACTTGCCTGCGACGTAACCACTTTTGAAGCCATAAATCTGGCTACAGGATTCCCTTAGGCTTTTTTATTTACGACTAAACATTTGGCTTGACGCTGTTTCTTTTTGACTGTCAAGATAATCAATTAAATCGCTGCACAAATTAATTGCCTGACGAAGACTAATTGATACGCAGTTATTAGTCTCGTTTTCTTCTGTTCCCTCTTGTGTTTCCATTTCTTCGTTTTCCTTGTCTTCTTGTAAACACAGTGACATTAACTCGTTATCATCCATATATTGCCTCGTAGAATTATCATCACATGTAAACCAATGCTCGATCTCGTTTTCATTTATATCGCGACATTCTCTGACATTTCTTAACATGTCTTCACATTCATGACGAACGGTAGAATTTTCTTCAATTTCCGCTAATTCAATTGTGATTTTTGGTAAAAGTTTTTTCCGAGATTTCATTATAGTCTCTGATTTTATTTTGTCCCATGAATTTGCAGCCATATAAATTACATTATTAAGATTTATCTCTTTCAGAGCCAAAGAAAAGTTTTGTTTACTATCTAGTTCTTCAAGAAATCGAGATAAAAAACTTCGTTTATAATTCATCTTAACATTCTGTAAAATTCCCTGATCCATCGGTTGCAAAATAGCGGTTGTGTTTGGTGGAAGGTATTTGACTACAATACCATGGCTTTTTAACACGTTCCCGCCGGCATGTACCACTGGTGGTACATAGAAGACTGTCTCATGGGACGGCATGTACCGCTGGTGGTACATACACAATTGTCCCATCGGGCGGCATGTACCACCAGTGGTACAAAGGATGCAATCAATTTTATGTGTCTTTTTTGTTAATAAAAAAACAAAAAAAGTTTGCAAATGAACTGAATCAAAACAATTCTTTAATTTTAAACGGCTTTAACATAAAAATATATATTAATTAGAATTATTCATTCCAATTAAAAATTGATCACGTAGTCAACAAATTTATTCAATTTATTACGTTTAAAAACATTATTTATTTTCATGAGTTTTCTTAAAACATTGTAAACACAAAGGTGGTTGATTTTCACAAAGACAACAAAATGTCGTAACACGTTTAGCTTTTTTTGCCGCCATAGAGGCACCCATTTCTTCAGATAATTTCCTGTAGCATTCTTTGGAGCGTTTGCGGGTGTATGTTGCTGGGCCTAAACGGGTTTCTATAAAATGTTTAACGTTCCTGGTTTTTTGTGCCCCTGGTATTTCTTCATCAGCTAATAATTCGTCAATAATTAATTCTCTAAATTTTAATATACTCATATTTCGAGTACCCCATTTCTTGTGTATATAATATGCGTTTACAATTGCTCTACCGCAAAGCAGTTGTATAATAATTTTCTTATACCATTTTATGGTTTTTCTTAGACTACTATAATATGACGACATTTGATCAGCCAAACCAACTCTTTTTTTTGCATCATTATAATCGAAAACAAGATCTGGTTTGTATGTTGCAGGTTTTCCTTCAATAAACTGACAATTATGACTTGGGCAACTTGTTATCATACAAACTGTTCTTTTATCAGTCCATTTCATAAATTTTATGCTAGAACGATTTTCTAAACTTTTAATTTCACCACGTTTTTGTTTTTTGTTTTTATCTGCTGGTAAAAATTTCCGATTTAGCTGAATTGTGCCACAAAAATATGTTCATTTTTGCAGTAGCGATTGAGCTAAAACTATACTTGAGTAGAAACTATCTGTATACAAAACGCGGTGTTCAAATAACAAGCCATTCATCAATTTTGAGACATCATATCCATGTGCATGTATTGAAGTGTTCATCCTTTTTCGGGCATAAATTTCTAAATCATAGGTGTAACCGCTTGGTAAACATAATTTGTATACTTTTATGCCGTATTTATGACGTTTTCCTTTGATATATTGTCGAAAACGTAGACGTCCACGCCATGGAATCATACTTTCGTCTATAACGACAGTTTTTCCAGGTTTTAGCGTATTCTTGAACGTAGTACTAATTTCAGTCACGATCTTACTAATCTTATTCAACGGGTCCTCGGTATTACATGTGGTATTATCGCTAAAATGTAGGCACTTCAGAATAGCTAAAAAGCGATCGCGTTTCATTACATTTTTTATGCGTTCGTTTCCATACATTTTCTTCTCGGACCAGTATAACCTAATATCTGGCATCTGTATTATCCCCATAATTAACAATATAGCAATAAAATGTTTCATCTCGCTTATTGTAATCGGTTTCCACGATAGCTCATGTTTTCTTCTGTTTGCACTAAAGCAAGCCACATTGTATGGAATATTTATTTGTTTCTTCAACCATTAGTTGAAGAATGCTATTGGATGCAAATAATTTATAGAGCTCCAAAGGGTCATCGCAATCAATATTTCTTACTAGAAGCTCCGCGTCCTGCGTATGTTCATGTTCTGTATTGGTGCTTTGTATTTCTGTTCTTTGAATTGGCCTCCATTCTTCCCCTTGATTTTCTATATTCATGTCCAAATGTGAATAACTAAACTCATTGCATGAAAAATCGACAAGATTACCTTCCGGTCCTAATTCATCTTCATCTGAAATGTAATTGATAGGTTGTACTCTTTTCCTCCCATAAGATATGTCTATAGATTCATCTGATGAATCATTCATTTCTAAACTCATGGTTGACATTCTAATGGGTTGTAATAAAGTAATGTAATACAGCTAATAATAAAAATAAAGTTTTATAAAAATTATATATTACTTACTTGAAAATCTCAAAATAAGAGGCACTATGACTATAATAACAAACACTGTAGGAATCGAAATATCAAATATTAGCGCGAGTTATATATTGGCCTACTTTGTTCGGGAGAACTTTTAAGAGGAAAACAATTCACGACTCTTGGTGCTAGAAGCAAAGTACAACTATATTTCACAAACCTACACAATTGAAAAGTATTTATACGGTCGTGTGGTCTGATTTACCAGGCGACTAGCGACATATTGTGGCGGAAATAGGAGGTGCGAGCGACAGTCTCCCCTTACTCCTCTGGCTCTCCGGAGACAACAGCGCCGTCCGATGGGACAAACTATGAATTAGAGAGCCGTCAGACGGCGAGAACTACAAATAAGGCCGCCGGCGGAAACGTGTTAATTCTCGTACGGCGTACCGTTTGGCAACCGACCGTGCGGCAGACACAGGGTCCAATCGGACCCATACGAATAAATTGCTATTTTCGTCACTGAGTATGAGTTTCTCAATCAAATTTTTACTATTTTCTATCTATGGAGCTGTGATTGTTAAAAATATTATTATTCTTAGTGGTTAGAAAAAAATTAATGTATTTATCTGGTATAAACAATATTTATTGATTTTCGTTACAATGTATACAAAAAGTATGTGTTTCGTATACTCTGTGTATATTGCAAACATGTTTTGAACAATTGTCACATTTTTCACGATATTTGTTGTCATTACCAACGCAAATACAACATCTAGTTCTTTTTCTATACCTTGTAGTATAATCTTTATTTCTTCGCAATTTTCTACCTGTTATTTCAATGGCTGTCGTAACATGCATCGGTAATACAAATTCTTGATTTTCAAATAATATCGCACGGCGTTCAATGTTTTCTTGTAATAATTGTTTACCTAATGTCTCTAAAAATATTTTTCTTCTAATTTTTGTTGAATGGCCACTTTCCCACGAAAGATTTTCTGTAATCAATATTACGAGGGTGTTACATGCAGCTACGTCAATGTAGTGCATAAAAAGAGACAGTGGCCAACGTTTGATACTTTTACGGCATGAGTACTTTCTGACTAGTTTATCTAGTGTAGCACTTCTTAAACTTTTTTCATGCACGCGCAGTCCACGGGCGACGCTTCGCTCCCCCACCACATACTGTACGCTCACACACGCGCAAGCGCGCACACACACACGGGCAGCCTTTTTTTTGTTACGCGCGGGAAATCTTCCAAAGACACCCCGCCACCCCCGGGCGGAGGGAGGCGGGGTAGTGTGGGATTCTTACCCACTAAAACCCCCGCGGTGGTCCTCGTCGGGCGCGCTGGGGAGAGCCGCGGCAACTTTGTATGACGTCCGCAGCTCTCCCCGCGCCTTGGCTTGCGTCCAGACCTCGGGGGAGGAGGCGGTCAAGGCGATCTCGCCTCCCCGCCCCCCGATTCCTCCTCGTAGAGGGGTGGTTGGTATCTTCCCTCTCTCTCTCGGGCGGCCTCCTTCCGGAGCATGACCTGCTCACAGAAGGAGGCCACCGCTTCCCGCCAACATGGCCCTGACTAGGGCCGGCGGCGAGAGGTCCCGGCCTATCACTCCTACCAGGACTGGACGCTCGACCTCCCACGCGAAGGTGTGCTGCGCCGAGTCCTGACGTCCTCCCTTACAATGGTGGCATCCGTGGTCCATCTCCTTTCCGATCCGGGCCAGGTACTCCCCGAAACATCCGTGTCCGGTGAGCACCTGGGTGACCCGGTATATGAGGCGTCTCTTGCCGCGGCCCACTCATTCGTCGAAAGAAGCGTGAACCGCCCCCACGGCACGCTGGCCTGCCATCCCTGACAAGTGGTTTTTCCACTTGGCCAGCGCGCCCCGTCGGGACTGGCGCCACAGCACCTGTGACGTCGTGCGACGACGTTGGAGTTAGTTCATAAGTATAATAAGCCTTCGCGACAACACAGCGAAGATAGACTAAGAATATTATACTCATATAGATTAAGCTCCTACTAATCTACCTGCGATCCTATAAACATCCACCAACTAACTCTACCCCTATATCATATATCCTATAAACATCCTACGATCGACTTACTCCTTTATCTCATATAAACATCCTCTGCCAATTCTCCGTACATATAGATTAAGCTTCCACTGACCTTAATCTATATCTCACATAAACATCCTCCAACTAAATTCCAACATAATCTCATATAAACATCCTCTGATCGACTTCACTACAATATCTCATATAAACATCCGCCGACCAACTTCTAATAAACAATCTCACGCCACCTTCGCCACAACAATAAGATAACAGTAAGCATCCCCGCGATGCCCCGCACCATCAAGTAATCTGTATAAAAGAGACGACAGGTTCAGACGCAAGTCAGTTACAGTTATAATAGAGTTATAGATAGTTACGACTGACCGAGACCTCAAGAATTGCTATTATTAATTAATAAATAATTTATATATATGGATATATAAATATATATATATATATAAATATCATATTGTCATATAACCTCATATCCACATGACTGGTTATTACACACGCTCCTATACCTCGACGAGATCATATAGAGTGCTTAGCGCACTCATGACTCGTCGTAGTACAGCGACATAGAGAACGAGATACATCGCGCATCCACGCCGAGATCATACAGAGTGCTTAGCGCACTCATGACTCGTCGTAGTACAGCGACATAGATAACGAGTACATCGCGCATCCACGACTCGCTACGGAGACATAGAGTCAGCGCGCGATCATCACAGGCGATATCCGCGTGGGAACGTTCAAGGCAGCATTGCAGGATCCAGTCAGACGCGGACGTACGTAACGCGTGGACTAAAGGTTGCTCAATCTTATGTTCCGGGCCGAGATCCGTGGCATAGCGCTATCAGATCTCGTAGACCACATCCCGGGACGTAACACACCTCGACCTCTGACGCCGACGGGATTGCCCCGCCCCGGCGGAGTTCGCGGAGACGCCCATACACTTGGGCGTCCCCCTCCACCAGGAGCTCGAATGGCCATCTTGATCTGATGCCGATCTTGATGGCCATTGTCCTCAGCAGTCTGCGGAGCTTGGTTTGCTCCGCCTTTTGGCCATCAGGTAGCCCGCCCACACCGGTGACCCGTAAAGGGTCATACTCCGCACGGCCCCCTCGTAGAGGCGGCGAACCCACTCGTTAGGTCCCCCGAGATTTGGCATGAGGCGGCTCAACGCGGCCGCCGCCCTTTCCACTCGGGGGACTAATCGGTCGAAGTGCTCTTCGAAGCGCCAGCGGCTGTCCAGGTGGAGGCCGAGATATTTCATCGTGCCACCCACCCGGACCGACGACCCACACACGCGAAGCCACGACCATATGTATGTACCTGCAACGCCTGTCAGTTCTGAACGTTTATTTTTAACAGCTGGAAATATTACTAGCTTGAAGCGTAACACTCTACTATGTACCTGAGAATGTTGATTTGTTGTTATTTTTGTACAAAAATAAAGATATCTAATCTAAAATAATTAATTGTTTCATTATCTCACACAAAAACATAAATTACCCGAATACAATGAGTAACACGGGTAGAACATACCTGGGTATTTTTCATTTACCCAAGTATCTTTCCGAGTATTCAGATACCCGGCGCACAGTGGCGGATTTCGCCGAAATCCTGGCCAAAAGTAATATTTTTAAATCTAAGATAAATTGCCGTACTAAATTGCAATAATATAACTCTAAAATGATAATATACTTTTTTTATTTTAAATATTGAATATAAAAATAATTTTGATCAAATATAAAAATGATGATAAATACCTGTAAGTATAAGAATGTAAAAAAAATGCTAGGT